TAGCAACCTGAAAATAGTATAAGATAGTAAGTGTTAGAAAAACAAAAGCAAAAGGAATTATCGAATTTGGGCCATACAAAGATAAAAGGAATTATCATTATTACTAAAATTAGCGTGAAAAAAAATATATATACATATATAAATAAATAAAATAAATAAATATAAAATAAATATATTTTACTAAACCTTAGTAACCATGTTTGTGTGATTAAGACCCTTATAGTAATAAGGTGATGAAGTAATTTGAATCGTTAAAAAGGGGAATTAATGAGAAGCGGATAACTGATATTAGGGCTGAAGTTAGTAAGGAAAAAAAACAACTAAGTTAATATGTAAATGCCAATTTTAAATAAACTAGAACGGAATATATATATTCATAAAATAAAATAAACAAATTAAACAAAAAAAAATTTACTTAAATAAAGTACTAATAAATGAATGAAATTAAATTGAATTAGATTAAAACCGAAAACAAAGCTAACCCGGGACTAAAATATTTAATTAACTGAAACTTAAAGAAAATGTACATTAACATAAAAAAAGGCCACTATATAACAAAAACTTTATATAAATAAATAATAATACTAATAATAATAATAAACCAAACAGGAAAGAGGAATAAATAGAAAAGAAAGACTAAAAGAAATTAATTAAATTACGTGAACCCAAAACCAAAACACATGAATGTAGAAAGCCCGCAAATTAATTAAATTTAGGAGAACTATAACTAAGACTTAACTATAAGTACCTTAGGCTAACTTTACCTACTTACCTTGACTTACTCACCTGAGTTTCCTATTTAATTCACATACCTGAACTACATACCAGACGTACCTACCTGATTTTCCTACCTAATCCAACATTTTTGCCACTACTTACCTGATATTACCTACTTGAACTTTTTACCCACTATTACTTGATATACATTTTTTTGTGAAAATACTAGATATACTTAGCTAGCCTTAACTTAGTTCACTTAATTAGATTTAACTTTAGGGTAAACACTTACCTCATGTATTTACCTCAGTTCTAGTTATCTATACTTACCTTACCCTCTTGCGATTAACACACTTGCTTTAAACTTACGAGACATACCAACCTAGTAGGTTAAGTAAATATACTTACCAGTTTAAGATGATAGGAATTAGCTTTAAGAAATAGGATTAATTAAGTTATAAGAAAAGGAATTACAAATAAAACTATAAGTTAAAAATGGGAATGCTGACTTTACTCATTCC